GAGCCATTTTTTAAAAGTTTCATTCCCTCCTTTCCCATTTTAATTTCTCACCGTATGAAAAAGGAAAAAGAAATTCGAAAAGTGCAGGAGGGAAAATTTGGAGCCTCTTTTTTCATTTTTCCGTAAAATTTCCCTCTCTCAACGATTTTAGTTTTCCACCCTATGAAAAAAATATAAATATTGCCAACCCAACTTTACCTTTCTGACTTCCTTCTCTTCATTTCGTTCTTTCACCTTGCTTGTTCGTCAACCGGCCGGAGTGGAACCAAACCCTTCCCACAATCGTCAATTCGTTCCTTCTCCTTCTCATAATCAGATATTGTATTCTCAGCCAAAGGTCGGGTTGTCGATTTTAGTTTTGGGTTCTCTTCCCAGCGACGGCGGCGCTGCTGCATGCGAGTCCTGATGGAGGTATGTTCTAAATTCTCTGTCCTTTCTCTCATTTGTGTTGGTCTATCACTGATTTGGAGTTTTGACAGAATAGCCTTTGTACCAACGCGGAGTGAAGTTCTCGGGTCCTCAATTGTCCATCGATGAGGATGGTAATCAGATCCAATGAATCAAGCGGTCCATTCAATTTTTTTCGTCTCTGCTCTTGATTTGATTATAGGCTCGATGATTTTTGTTTCTGACCTCAATTAATTTCCATTGGCAAGCTGTTCGGATTGTAATCAAAGCGTTCAGAGTGGTTTGAGACCTGTGGCTGTGTTTGTTGCTCGGTTTTGCTCTGTGCTCGGTTTTGCTCTGTGCTCGGTTTTGACCTCAGGTTCGTTCTTCTGCTTAGTGCTTAGTGTTTAGATCCAAGCTAGATAATTTTTCAATACAGAGTGTTTTGCGTGTGTGCACATGTGGTTGAAGACATTGTATCTGAATATTGGTTACTGACTATAGACCTGTTGTGCAGGCATGTGGAGCTAAATAACATGTTGAAAAGGAGTTGTTAAATGAGACTGATGTTTATGATGTTGTTGCACTTGTTAAGCTAGCTATAAAGGTATCTTGTTCCTCTTATACTTCATAATGTTCAGTTTGTAGTTTATAATTGGTTCAAATCATAATGTCTAAAATGGAATTTTTGGATTTGGCACTCGTTATGTTTCCTTCTTTGGCTAGATGGGCGTGCAGTGGTTTTCCAAGAAGAGGACAGATGGGCCACTCCGCTTATGCACACCGGTATGTTTCAATTATACCCTTTCTTGGTTTGCTAGGTCTTAATGAAAACAAGAATAATGATCTGAACAGAAAAATAATCTTGACCAGCAAAAGTAGAGGCATACATTGTTGATTGGAAAAGCAGTTTAATGAACCTAAAACATGAACAACCATGACCAGAAAGTATGAAAATACCCAACAACACATCATAACGTCCTCCAATCAAATATCCTAACTCATCCATAGAGTATCAAACAAATGGCCAGATTCGAAATGTGTCTCCGGTTATTAGAATCCATGCCAATCTTTTCAACTAGCCTTCTTGCTGCTCCTCAGGCCTTCCCTTCTAGTACATGGCTCCTTCTGCAACATTGAATATACAAAGTTTAGTTCCAACGAAAATTATTGTTCCCCAAAAGTATTCTAGACATAAACAATGAACTTCTAATATTACAGTTGGTGGATCAGGGATGTCGGTTGTATCAACATCCTCTTCAGTATCCTCCTCTGATAACTCTGGACAAGTTCTGGCATTATGAGTATCCTTCCCACATTTACTGCAATGTTTTGGTTTTCGACCAATGTGGGGTGCTTGCTGGTTCCCACTGTTGTTGGCGACGTTTTCACTATTTGGTTCTTCATTATTTGGTACTGTGTGGCCAGCAGCTCCATCATTAGCTTCAGTATCAGTAAGTTCTGGTATTGTAGGCCTCACATAATCAGGAGGCTTCTTACAAGTGCTTTTTTTATGACCCAATACGCCACATCTGCTACACATTCGTTGCTCCCCTTTCTTCCTTTTGTTTTCTTGTCCACCCGAACCTTTGTATTTCACAGGATGTGGATCCAAAAGTTTCTCTTTTGCCTTTGGTCTATTGATATCTGGGATCTCAGTATCACCTTCGTTCATCATGTCTAGCGATTCACATATGGATGCAATTCCTGTACGAGCAAGGTTGAAGCTTTCGCTTGATTTTGCCCCTTTTAACCATAACTGGGAGCTGCTTTGTTGAAGAAGCCCATATCTGAAAACCACAGTCAATATTATTATTCTATTAAAACGTCACCGAAAAAGTGAAAGCTTATGTTCTAAAACGGGTCAACGCCCTCTGGTACCACCTTAGTATTTAATAAACACATCTGAACTGCTTTCTTAAACACAGTAACACACAATTTCCAGCTTTATACAGTAACTACGAACCTGAATGTGAATAGTCTAGCCTCGTCCATATTGTGTGGTTGTTGTAAGCTATCAAGTGTCTTCGGCTTCTTTGACCACCTTAACTTTACCAACCGTTCTGGAAGTTCCAGCATACCCTCTTCTTTCAGTAGATGAACCATATGAGCGCATGGTATTCCCATATAGTGGTAATAGTTACAACTACACTCCATAGCGAAGGGCTCAATTGTGTATGTGACCTGAAAAACCTTTTGTTTACCTGACATTGTCACTCTGTAAATGCGTTGGTTTTCCGATATCTCTGAATCCATCCTTACAAAAGCTCCCGACTTTTCAACCTCATCTCTGAATTTGAAAAAGGCTTCTTTTGTGAATAATTTAGACGCACTCTTCTGAAGTGAGACTAATATATTAGACGTTATTGTCCGTTCACGATGGATGGACTCAAAATCAGCTTGTTGCTCCATCTCCCTCATATCCCTAGACCAACGATCAAAATGAATAAAGAACTCAAGTAGATTATGATTGTTTTCGATATACTTGGTAAGCTGAGAGTTCATTCCTTCACATCTAGACGTTGTTGACAAGCCTGCAAAGAACTTTGAGCGCAAGTATGTATACCCCCATTCAGTTCTTTGGTCAAATAGATGTGAAACCCAATTGTTATGCTGCTGTGAGCACTCCTCGACCATTGTTTTCCACTTATCTTCAAATACTGAAGGTTCCCAATCAGCTGACACGAAATGTTTCCATTGTGGCAAGAAGTTAGGATTGTCCCTCACTTTTCTGGCAATAGTTTTGTCTATGTGCCAAGCACATAAACGATGTGTCGCATCGGGGAATACTTGCTGAATCGCGTTGCGCATGGCTTTATCCCCATCTGTGACAACAGTTTTAGGATCTACACCGCCCAACCTTCTCCTCAAGGCATCTAGAACCCATACATAGTTTTCTTCTTTCTCATTTGCCAAAAATGAACATCCAAATATGCAACTGTTGAAGTGGTGGTTCACACCTAAAAAATAAACAGGTTAGTAAAATTACTTCACTAATAAGACAAGAATTACACTATACCCATAACGCATGGAAGTGATATTGCATTAGTCTCTTTAACGTGTGGTATTAAGTTTCAATGAATAAATACTTTATACTTTATAGGAATGAAAATATAAGTTACTAGGAACCGAAAATAAAAGAATTAGTACCTGAAAAAATTACTAGAGGCATATTGTAGACGTTCTTTTTGTAAGTCGCATCAAAAGCCAATAATTCTCCAAAGCATGCATAATCAGCCACTGAAATACTATCTGCCCAGAACAAGTTAACAAGCCTGCCTTCATCGTCTTTTTTTAGCTCAATTACGAACTGTTCATCCGCACTTAGTTTCGCCTGTAGGTAAGCTAGTGCTGTCGCAGCATCACCATCACTAATCTGTTCCTTCCGATCTTTGTCCACGTAATTATACGCATCTTTCCTCGTGAACCCCATCTTGCTATAGCCTCCTGCCTCTGCAACCGCTAGTGAAACAATCTGTGATGTTTTCATTCCTGCAGCTCTCCGGAAATTGATTGCTGCTTTAACTGCATCACTCAACTGTCGATTCCCTTTCATGTAGTGTCGGTATTTTTTTGGAACCGTTACGTGAGAGTGCACGTTATGAAAGGTATCAACAAACCACTTCCCATCTGACTTGTCTAGTCGTACACGAATCCTAGCTTTGCAGTCAAATCTCGTCTCTCCTTTTGGTTCCCTCTTTCGTTCACCCTTTCGGTCGCGCTTTGTTCCTTGACCAGAACATACAAACCGACGCCATATCATGACCTTGTCTTTATCTCGGCCAATATCTTCTTTCCTGACGTCAAAGCCAGTGACCAGCCCATAGTTCCTCCAAAAATCATAGGCTTCTTCAGTGTTAGCGAATCTTAGCTTCTCGATATCTTCTTGCTGTAGAAGTAAGAGATCGTCAATATCATCCTCTTCTACCTCTGAACTTTGGTGAACATTATGAATAGTTGAACCGTTACTGTTGTTAATATCTTCATTGATTTCCACTTCGACGATTTCATCGTCTTCCATGATCGTCGCGCTTGTGATTGTCCAAGCCAACTAACCCTAAGTAGCCAAAGTAGTACTAAGGAACTAGCCTCTCCGCTGGCGCTTCACTATGAAAAACCTAAAGGATGTTGTATATAAGCTGTGAAATTAAATCCTTGTTTTTAACGGAACAATTTGGGTCAAAACATCCATGGGCTGGACTGAATTCGTTTGGCCTAATCGGTTTAATGAGGTGGATAAATATAGAAGTTCACACGTAACTAGTTAATTCCTTATTAAGTTCATTTAATGAGGTGGATAAATATAGAAGTTCCCACATATAAAAAAACTCTAATTGATATCTCACGGGTTTTCCTAATACACGAGGTTAAACACCCCTCTGGCGCATCTATTAATATGGCCAAACATCTTGCCCAAAACTCATTCAACTAAAAGTAGCGCAGAGGCCCTTTGGTCAACATTGTGTCTGTAACATTATGGGGAAGGAAGGGTAAGTTCTGCAATCCGCTAATGTGTTTTCTTTAACTTTTTATTCAGCTATTTCGTTGTATTTGTTCTTATATTCCACTCTCTCGTTGCTTTTTTGTACAATTATATTAGGGAGAAGAACAAGATGACGAGCGGCCAGTCTACTGTATGCCTAACGCGTTCTCTAGCCAAGTCTATGGTTCGTCCAGGAGCTTTGACAGTAGGTTATTTATACAAAACTTATTCTGACTTGATTGTTCATTATTGTAGGAATTGGAGAACTATGTATCTCCTGCAAAGAAAACAAGAATGCAAGACGTCACCCCCCCACCTACACCCGACTTGAAGGTGATTGTTCTTGATGCTGAACCAGGGCTGGACCATGATGAGCTAGGTGTGCAAAACAAACCCCTCACGCCTCCACAAAAATTGTCAATGAAGGTATGTAATCCTAGTGATGTACATATGCTTCCTTTCCGCCCACTATTTTCGTTGTTTTCCTTCGTTCCTTTCTCCGCCACTTGACTTCTATTTCTTCTTTAATTAATTATATATTTTCATTTAAAATGTAAAACCTAAAACTCAAGAAAACCTCTTCTTATTTCCTCTATTTGTTCGTTCTCCATGATTGAAGGGTACCACAAGGTTTGAGCTCCCTACAGCCGTCAACTACAGTGACGAAGAAGTGAGTTTTGCTCACTATATATTTGCAGAAGACCTTCATCCTGATGAAGCTTTGGTCAAAACAATGATGAAATCATATACCAGGCAGACATTATGGAGCTTATGCCCCGAGTCAAACGTTGATGCTGATGTAAGTACTTCTGCGAAACGCCCCTAGTTGACCTGAACGTGCTTAACGATTTTTAATCATTGGATTTTATTTCTATTGTGTTTTAGGTAATTACAGCGTTAGCATGCCACTTGACCTTGGACGAAGTTAAAAGAGATACTGGTCGTGGAAGAGGAGTGTGCTTTCTGCCTACGGAATTGCAGGTAAGTGTTGCTTTTGCTTTGTAATTCTATTTCAGTTTACACAGGGTTGGTTGTTTATTAAGTAAGATTAGTGTTCAATGATTTAACTTCATTTTCCTACCAGGATATGGTGGTTAATTATGGCATGACATCAGCAAAGGCATTAGAGTTATATGATACAAAATTCCTATCAAAAGCTCATAACTGTAGAAAGGTTATGACTTCTCCACAATTCTTCCTTCTCATTTCTGCTTATTTAGTAGCGGTTTTCACAACATATGTGCGCGTGAATTATGCCTGCCCTTCTGCTTAATTTCTTGAATGAATTATGTCGGAAAACTAATTAGTTAATTGGATTGTTTTCTCGTACCTGTGAAGGTTTGTCTTCCCATGAAAGATATGATGAATGATGAAGGCATCCACTGGTATTTAGCTATAATTTTGATGGACCAGAAACAAGTACACATTCTGGATTCATGCCCATCAAAAGAGCGCCAAACAATCCGTACGAATGCAGTTCACACAATGGTATAGTTAAAATTTGTGCCATTGAATACATACTTCAATACAAACGTTGTAGATCGAATTTCTGAACGACTTGTTCGATGCCTTACACAAGGATGTTCAATCAACATGTGCACCACCACAGATCAAGGAGTTTACTTTGACCACTCCTGAAGTTCCTACACAACGACACAAGTAAGAATGTATATTTGGTCATAATTTCACTAGAAAAATAAAATATTTGTGTCTTACGTAATGCATCTTTCTAAACAGGAATGATAGTGGGATCTAGGTTTGTGTGTGGATGATGGGATCAACTTGGGATGATGACTATTATATTTGGGTAAGAAATCACCTACTACCTAGGCCCATTTATTTCTACGAGCACATTAAAAAACTATGTCAACTATTGTATTAATACGTTATATTTTCTGTCCTTACAGCCATGCAATCATTTGAGAAGAATGCAGGTGGCATTGTACCTAGTCAAAGAGCCTACCAATTACATAAGACACAAGGTGCTCAAGAAAGCAAATCAGAATGCGCCTAGGTTTGAAGCTCAGACACTTGAGTACAAAATAGCTTCCCAAGAGAGGAAAGCAGGTTCCCAGAAGAGGCTAATTCAGGAAAGCAGCTTCCCAGAAGAGGCGAATTCAGGGCTCAAGGATATCTAGTCGCATAGTGTGTTCTGCTAAAACATTTTAGCATTTAGTTTTGTTTCTTCCTTTCCAACGAATGCCCTCTTTATGGTAACGATTTAAGGACACGTTTATTATTTGGCGGATAGATTGCAAGTTTTGGTGTCCTTTTTTATTTATTAGAGGGAGGCTAGGAAATCAACCGAATAAACACAAGTACACAGCCAGAGGCTAGTTTTCCAAACAGAAATGGAACCGCTACAGTAATCTCACATTGCAGACAGATAGCCAAAATAGCAGCAACAGAAACAGCCACCTCTGAGATTCGCATAAAAACTAATAGAGATAAACTGGCCAGATTACTTGCCTCGGGAAACTTATTCCCATCACGTCTTCACGAAGTAACCCATCGAAATTTGCTGGAGGATCGTCCAACAACCAGCCCAATCAAGTGGACCTTTAAACCATTTTTCAATAAAGATGGAAGAACCCGAAACATGATTAAAAGCATCACTAGTGAAGAATGTGGCTAAAATTGAATTAGGAACTTATAGTCATTTCTCGTGGTGACTAAAATGAAAGAGGTCACATATCGTCCATTCAAATAATATTTGTCTGAGCTCAACCAAACTTGAGTTGCTCCCCCTATAAATGTAATCACCCTCTTGTTTCTTCATATCTTCTTCAGACAACTTATCAACTGTGCTAAACATGAAACTATCAAGATCGACTTCCTTGTTCATCGGATCCATTCTGACCTGGAAAAAGAAAACCACCAAACAAGCTCCTCAACAGATCATGTCAAAGACTACTGAAAGAATGGACCAAAAACACACATGATCCTGGAAAGGGACATCTTAAGCACCTAATTCCGATACACATTAACTCGGTTTATCATCAATGCATAAAACCGTCACCACAATTCGTCAAAACCCTTACCTTGTCAAAGTTAACCACGAAGATAGAAGCAGGACTGGGCCTGTCGGGGTCTCTGTTTAGTTCGAACCCCACGGTTTCAGTGTAAAAAAATGTAGGAATAGAATTTTTGAAATACAGACTCCACAGCTGTAGCCTCCGCTTCAAACAACGAGACCTCTCTTCCCAAATCAGTCTACAATACACCTCATCCATATCAGAGATCCATCCAAAATCACAGCATTGTAGTTCGAAAATCAATTTCGGCAATTTCAATGCAAAATCCCTTTCTTACCTCCCTAGCAGATCCTGAAGGAACCATGGCCTCTTTCATTGCCTTCTCCAGTGCAATCATCTCCGCCTGCCCAGCTGTTTGCACAAGTGAATTACTCATACAAGCAACAATTAGTTTTCATTCAAAGGGATGGGGGTGCTTATGCTTGCACAGCTTGACGCCGAGATTACCTGCAATATTCGGCCATTTTAGGGTTCAAACAATCGATTGGGAGGAATCATAGGACAGGTGGGAAATATAACAGTCGAGAACGGGAAAACGAAGAAGAATAAGAGGGGGAAACAGAGTGGTTCAATTATCGCTGCCATTTTCTGAGGCGGCTGGGATGATTTACAGGAGTAGGGAGGAAGAACAGGGTTATTCCCAATTCGAACAGAAAAATGGAGAAGAGAGAAGGTCCAAGGTCGGGATTTGGAGGAGAGGGGTAGGGCTGCGGGTGGGGCAAGGTAGGTGTCCTTTCTCTTAGGGTGGTTGGATTTTGGGTCAATTCAATAACTAAACAGAACCAACCCGATTTGGTTTACAATGGACTAAAATGAAAGAAAAACTAATTCTATGAGTTGATCTGTAATTTTATTTAATATAAATTCCGAAAAAATAAATCATTTAATAAAATTTAATCTCAGCCGTCGAGATCACACGTACGGTCAAGATCACCCAAGGTACGCCATACCCCGGAATTTACCCGGGGTACGATAGAAGTCACCATATAAGTAAATGTATATATAGAATATGGTAAGAAGTCTTTGGTGTGGGTGGGGAAGTAAGGAAAGAAGACTAGACCTAGCCGGCAGATGATAGCAGTATTGTGATGTGCGATGGTGATCGGGTTTGCGGGTGACCCGCGGATCCACCCGCGAACTACCCACCTCCTGCGGATCACCATCTATCCTATCCGCCACCCGCCCACTAAGCCGCCCACATAATGCGGATTGGGTCATTTTGCGGGCGAGTCGGGTCAGATCCGTGAGTCAACAACCGGCATGCCCAGCTCTAATGTTAAATGCCATGAATTTTTTTTTTTTTACAAAAGATAATCATATATTGATTCAACAGAAGAGATAGTTACATCCTGGAATTCAGCCAGGTCTGATAGTTAAAAACTCGACTCATGATCGGGTACAAAGAGAGGATTTTCCTAGCCATCAGATGGACTACCCTATTACTACGCCGACCTACGAATCGAACCCTCAAACCCGGAGTTAAATGCCACGAATTAAGCGGGATAAATATGGATGATCTGGTCTGTTTTTTTCCCCTATGTGCTTGAACGACCATACAGGTGTAGGAATCAACGTGTGGTTCATAGCGAAATTCCAATCATGGTGATGGTGGTGCATAATTAATACGTCATGGTTTGATCGACTTTTATATTGGGTCAACATGAAATTGGTGTCCAAGGTTGACCATGGGCTGGACTTCTTTTGGTGGTTCAATCTAAGTATGGGCTACCCTTTGTTCCGATGAATGGAGTGAGCTAGGAAACATGGGTAGGTGTGGGCTTGCTCAAAAGCCCAAGAGGAGGGATTTAAGCACTGGTCAAGCTGAAGAGCCTCTAAGTCAGAGGCATGAGTTGATGAGGATTACAAAAAGGTATCAGTTCGATTGAGATGTACCATTGACACCCTTCTCCAAGTCCCTCACCTTTCAGGTATTTTCAACACGATTCCTTAATTTTATGCCTCATGATAGTATTACCATTTACCAACGAGGGAGTGATCATAGACTTAAATGCGTCGTGTTTGATTCAATACATGATAGATCGTGTGTTTGGTGTTCAATGTATTATAGTCACATGTGCATCTTGTGATGTTCCATCTTTTGAGGCATCTGAGCCAATTGAACTTAATTAAGCTCGATTTTACCTCGTCTAGTGCTGTTTGTTAGCTATTCCCTAGGCATGTAGGTTGCCACCTCAAAGTTGTGTGCCCATCGTGGAAAAAATGCAACATGATATTACAGTTCTTATGTCTTGTCATTTTATACATTTTCCCTACGCATAGTGATTGCTGATAGGGAAGGAAGAGGAGAAGGAACTTTACAAGTTAAAAGAGGTCTTCGACATCTTAGAAAAATGTATCGATACATTTTAAAAATTCGTCAGGATGGACGCGATTAAGAAGAAATCTTGGTGGAGACTAAAAAGCTCTTTTGTTTCAACTAGTTGTTTAGAAGATCTAAGAGATATGAGATTGTTATATGATCTCACAAGAGAATTTCGAAGCAACGATGCTGGCTCAGGAAAATGGAGAGCCATGTGGAAGAAGAGATTTCCGAAAGGCTTCACTTTCACCGTCCATAGACCTCTTTGCACGTTTTCATTCACAAATCACAAATATGTAGTGTAATCACACAACTACCACGTTTCAATACGTAGAAAATGACTGCGGAAACAAAATTTCAATTGAATTTCCAATTTCCAGATGGCAGAGACCAGATAGGCTTTTTCCAACAAGTTAAAAGAAGTTTGGGCCACCATGGATATTGGGCCCAGTAATTTCAATGCTTCCGCACCGCAAAAATTATTATGTAAATCCGCAAAATAAAAGAAATTGAAAACAGAAAATCCAATTAGCTGCCACGCTCTCTTTCTTCACTCTTTCAGTTCACTTTCTGCTCACAAATTACGGCTTCTCCCTGTTTCTCCGCGAACTTGAACCGCAAATCCATTTTCTTCCTCTCACTACTGACCTACTCCATGGCTTCTTCCCAAGCTTGCTGTGGGCCCCTCTCTTGTACCCTCCTTCTTATATCATGATGATCCTACCCCAATCATTGTCGTCATAAAATTTCTCTGCTTCTTCTTCAATCAAAATCCCAACTCTGCTGTGTTTTTTGCTTCCAAATTTCAGTCTTTGCATTAAGGGGATTGGTTATCTTGGTGGGTTTTTTTTTTCAATGGCGTCCGGGTCATTCTCGCCTCGCATTGAAGTCAGGGCAGATAGCTCTGTTCTTTTCAACTCCAGCAACAACCAGAGCGGCCGCACCATGTTTCACTTCCTCTGCTGTAGGCCGAATAGGAAATCGCCCATCGGCCTTGGAATTTATGGTGATGGGTTGTCGCCTAGGTTTGGGAGGATCAGAGCTACCGGGAAAGAGAGTGACAAGAATGGTGATCAGTCTCATGTGGATGCGCTTCAGGCCACGATTGAGAAGAGCAAGAAGGTTCTCGCTGCGCAGAGGAACTTACTTCGGCAGGTAGCTTTGCCTAATTGCACTTGTTTAGTTTTTTTTTTTTTTTTTCTTAGGTTTAGCTTGCCAAGTATGATCGAATGCACATTTGTGTTGAGACTTGAGACCAATTTTGTTTTCGTCTTGGCATAATCAGCGTGGGCAGTTCATGTGACGAATTTAGATATGATTTTGCAGATAGATGAAAGAAGGAAAATGGTGTCTTCTTTTAAAGAAAGCTTTATGAACCCAGAATCTGCGGGTGAATCTTTTTATAAGCAAGATGAGGATCGTTTGACAAATGTGGAACCTGCTTCAGCAGATGCTGGGGGGTTTACTGAGCCACATACTGTTTCGAGCAGCTATGAGCTATCCACTGGGGATGGTGAACCCGAAACGGGAAAGTCTTATATGAGCGAGAGTTATCATGGAAGATGGAATGGAAGTGAAGAACTACTGCCAAGGTCAGTGCAGATGGATGAGCAAACACCAGTTTTTGCACATACACCCCAAGCCTCCACTATTGACAGTGTGAAGCTTGAAGCTGTCAATGAATCAACTTTACAAGAGATCAATCACGTTGAGGGCAATTCCAGTGTGAATGATATAATAGCTCAGTTAGAGGAGCCCATATCAGTCCTATCAAATGCACCCACAGTGGAGCCTGTAGATGTAAATGAATCCAGTTCACAAGTTTCCAATGATGTTGAAGGTGTTTCAAATGCTTTGGATTCAAAGCCGCCCCCTTTGGCTGGGGCTAATGTCATGAACATCATTTTGGTTTCTGCAGAATGTGCTCCGTGGTCTAAAACAGGTTTGTCAAATTCCCTGTGCTTACATTTTGGATTTTGGCTGGAGATGCACCCTTTTCCTAATCACACTGAAGGATTGATGGTTCTTGCAGGTGGACTTGGGGATGTTGCTGGTTCATTGCCAAAGGCTTTGGCCCGACGTGGACATAGGGTTATGGTAATGTTTCCTTTCTGATCTTTTAATTTGAATTTTCATAGGGTCCTGATTAGCTGAACCAATCTTGCTAATTATTCAACATGTTAGGTGTTTAGTAATAGTTATTGCTTTAACTTTGTATTGTATGAGTAATCAGATAAAAAATATGTTTGACTCCCCATGATGAGACCATAAAGTTTCTCATTATTATCCCTGTCTGTAATAGAAGTTATATTGTCCTTTAGGTTGTTGCACCTCGATATGGTGAATATGCTGAGGCCCAACACTCTGGAGTCAGAAAGATTTATAAGGCGGATGGTCAGGTGCGTTCACAGTTGCAGCCTTTGAATAAAACTTATTCTCTCATATACTCTTTTGCATGGCATAAATATGGTCTGTGATATTTCATTTCAGGATATAGAGGTCACCTACTTCCAAGCCTATATTGACGGTGTGGACTTTGTCTTCATAGATTGCCCATGGTTTCGCCACTTTGGGACCAATATATATGGAGGAAACCGGATGGTAAGTTTCATATTGTCTCCTTTTGCTTTAGTTTGTTCTTCGCCATCACCATGAAGCTTGAGTCTTTTTGTTCCTTTATTTATCATTGCAGGATATTCTGAAGCGCATGGTGTTATTTTGCAAAGCAGCTGTCGAGGTACATTTCCGTAACTGTTAAGTATCTTCCTGTAATGCTTATTCTATCTGTGTACTTGTGCCATTCTCTGCAGATCTTGCTTCAGCACTTATAACTGTCTATGTTCTGTTGATTATATCTCATAAAATTAGAGAATCCTTATATTTGAGGATTAAATAGTTACATTATCGGGGCTGATACAAGCTCTATTTGGTCCGTTTTCATTTGAGTGTGAAGAAAGTTATCTGTTCTGGTTTCAGGTTCCTTGGTATGTTCCCTGCGGTGGTGTATGCTATGGAGATGGAAACTTGGCATTCATTGCAAATGATTGGCATACAGCTCTGCTTCCAGTTTATCTGAAAGCATACTACCGCGACAACGGTTTAATGCAATTCACACGATCTGTCCTCGTGATTCACAACATAGCTCACCAAGTTCGTGCCTTTATTCAACTTTCAATCTAGAAATGTGTTAGTTTTTCAAATCAACACTGCATGTAGATGAGTAGTAACTCAAAAGCTCTGTACTTTATCCAGGGTCGAGGCCCAGTGGAGGATTTCCGGTATGTGGACCTGCCGGGACACTACATCGATCTCTTCAAATTCTACGACCCAGTGGGCGGTGAGCACTTCAACATCTTCGCCGCTGGTCTAAAGGCGGCAGACCGAGTGGTAACAGTTAGCCACGGATACTCCTGGGAGTTGAAAACACCAGAGGGAGGGTGGGGCCTACACATCATCATAAACGAAAACGACTGGAAGCTGAGAGGAATAGTAAACGGCGTCGACACTCAAGAGTGGGACCCACGTCACGATCTCCACCTGAAATCCGATGGCTACATGAACTATTCGCTCGAAACATTTTGCTCCGGGAAGCCACAGTGCAAAGCAGCACTCCAAAGAGAACTTGGTTTACCCGAAAGGCCAGAAGTTCCACTGATTGGTTTTATCGGTAGGCTTGATAACCAGAAGGGTGTCGATCTTATAGCTGAGGCAATCCCGTGGATGGTGGAACAGGATGTGCAATTGGTGATGCTTGGCACAGGAAGGCAGGATTTGGAGGAAATGTTGAAGAACTTCGAGGGGCAATACAGGGATAAAGTTAGAGGTTGGGTTGGGTTTTGTGTGAAGACCGCTCATAGGATAACTGCCGGTGCAGATATCTTGCTGATGCCATCCAGGTTCGAGCCATGTGGGTTGAACCAGCTGTACGCGATGATGTATGGGACGATTCCTGTGGTTCATGCAGTTGGCGGGTTGAGAGATACAGTTCAACCATTCAATCCATTTAACGAGTCTGGGTTTGGGTGGACATTTGACGCTGCTGAAGCGAGTAAGTTGATACATGCGTTGGGGAATTGCTTGTGGACTTATAGAGAGTTCAAGGAGAGTTGGGAAGGGTTGCAGAGGCGTGGAATGGAGCAAGATTTGAGCTGGGATCATGCTGCGGAGTTGTACGAGGAGGTCCTAGTTGCTGCTAAGTATCAATGGTGATCATTTGGGTAAAGAAAATAAGAGTAGGAGGAAGAGGCAAGGTGTTAACCTAGTTAGAAGCATGTAAGTCGGTATCGAGTTGCCGAAGCAAGACTTGATTAGGCAAAATTTAATGGCTAATCTCTGTTGATTCTGCTATCATCTGATCAATAATGCCACACTTATATGCAATTCCTGATCACGAGTAACATGGATCTCAATTGTCAAGCCATTGTAAGAATTTGTTTGCAAAACAACTCTTCACAGTTTGGTTTGCTTCCTTTCTCTTAATGGGATGTAAATGTCACGTGGTTAATGAACTTTAAGATGTAGAGGGGAAACTGAACAAAAAGCATCTGGATCTGCAAAAAGTATCTTGTCTAAGTAGTCAAGCCTCGAAACACTCGGATACACCCTTCGACGATCAAGTTAGAGAGAACATGAATCATGCGAATTCCATCTCACATTTCTTCCCCTTTTACAAGGGCAATTAAACATAAAATACCTCCACCTTCTGAGTTCTGAGTATAACCCAGGCCACATAGTGAGCAGTAGTTGCAGGTCTAAAGAATATTAATGGCTCAAAGTTTAAATTGTTAATACAAACAACTATGCATGCAAGCGGCCTATACAAAAACTGCTCCATTATTCTGTAGTTACACAAGTCCAATCTATCTTGCCATCATTGCAAAACAGCCCCTCAATAACTAACTCCAATTGCCAGAAATAGAACTCCAACACGAGCTTCGATATATAACTACCACACTGGCAAGTACAGGTCCACTCCTCTTGATTCAAAGCCTATTTTCTGGCTTAGCGAGGCCTCTATATATATGAAACTCTCCTTTCTTTATCTAGCTGCAAATATGAACCCCCAGAAAATAGCCCAGCAATCCCTCTGGACAAGCAATTCTCAACTGCACACCCAACTGGACTATTCTGTTTCGTTATTTCCATGCCATCGTCAGCTGAGTCGCCACCTGGTGGATTATCCGCCACCCAACTCTTCTTGTGGTCGACTAGCCTATTTCGTTTCGAATTTGAAGAAAGATTTGGTTCTGGAGAATCACAGAGCTCCATTTCTTCATCTAATCCCAAGTTGGCGAACTTCCTCTTCAAACCAGGAGTTACCTTCAACCCTGGAAACCCAATGCAAAGGACAAAGCATACAAAACATTAGTTTTGGAAACATGCAGGAGGATGGATACATCACACATAAGGAGAAAGACAGCCAAACGCTCACCGGGAAGAGGGTCTTCAAAAGCACATGGATGGGATTCCAACTCTCCGCTATCATAGGATTTACAGTTGCACTTATTCTTAGACCCAGATGTTCTGCAAGAAAATTTTTGGGCACAATGAGTTGACGTCAATGCAAGCAGCACAGACCCTTCTTAGTCATTTATAGTTAGAAAGAAGACATTTATATTCATTGTCACACAAGTTATCAGAATGTTAACAAGTTAGATTTTAAGGAAACTCCAAAGATCTCAAGTGATAATATGATAATATATTGTAAATTAATACCTGTACATATGCTCCACAAATTCATCTATAAGGACAGGCCAAGCACCTGCAAAGTGAAACCATATTTAGCAAGACAGAATTGCTTTTACTTGTTGACAAACAGAGAGAAGCTTATTCAGAAGAAAGAGCTACTCGGAAGTTGGAGGAAGTGAAGGAAGGAAAAAAAATAATAATAAAGAAGAAAGCAACCAGTGAACAAGATGAAAAAGATGATAAGTGGAAAGGTGAAACAGTAACACACTTTAATAGATCAATAAAGAGTCAAGTAATGCAGTAGAAAATATATTGCAAACTAATGAATGCTTCTGTGATCATTTGTTGCACTTAAGCTGTTCTAAAGCAAAACTATAGATGCAGTTTTATTCCTCCATACAGCGGAAGGGCAACAAATAATCAGAGGCAAACAGCATCATATGAATGAGGCAGGCTCAGGATGAAGCTGATTTTATCGTCTACCTTCAGGATCATAGCCTTCAAAATTTCCATGTACACAGCGACTAAAAGCCAGAACTTGCTGCCATGTATCCTCAGAAATATTGTATCGCTGATTTTTCTACAGAGACATGTTAAAGAGTCAGAGTCTTTTAAAAGAAGCCACAGAAAGAACCATAAACAGATACCGAGGCTTTATGACCTCTGCAGGCTATCAGTCATTTTAAAGTTTCACAACATATAGGCACGCAGAGAGAGCATGATGCCCAAAGGAACAAGCACCGTGCTAGCAATCATGCCCTAATAGGCCATGATCAAGGAAGCCAAAATACTGATGACAGCTTATTATAATGCGCACCTCTACAAAGTCACACCATTGGTTTAGCAACCTAAACCTCCCAGCCAAAACCAATCTCCATGCAGTAACCGCCTTGTTTACAGCTGATCCCAAAGAGATAGTAATTATGTTAACAATCCAAAAGATTCTCCATTAAATTCATACGGACATCTATCAACTTTCTGTCCATAAAAATATGAGCTCAGAACTTACTAATGTTCTTTTGACCATTCTCGCGAGAGATAAAGAATACAAAATCATAGAAGCACGAAAAGTCGTGGACATCCTTCTACAATAAGATAAAAAAGGCAAAACCATTAACCACGGAATATTGAGCATGGGGAACTTCAATCTTGAAACTTCTGGTTACAATGCAAAATAACTACTAACTAACCATCAATCTTGAATTTGACATGAGCTTGCGAAGTTCATCAAAAATAGAAAACCTGTCCAAATAAACTTACTTCAGTTAACAAAAGGCAAATAAAAGATTCCATAGTTCTGCTAAGAGGGAAAAAATGATTTTTGACACGTGGGACATCCAGAAAAGCAATAGTAAACTAGATATTCAATTCTTCTCTTAAATTTTATACGTTAATCACGAAACAACTGCATTCGAGCAGATAGTGAGCACAAAATGAGCCACAAAGGTTTCCAGGAAGGGCACTCTAATTCAATGTTGAAGCCGAGCTGATGCTTTCCATCGATTGCATTTGAAGTATATAGACTGCATCAGTCAAACTATGGGCTCGAATCATAATCCCATAAAGGCTCTAGAACAACTTAATTTGATAGCGAGTACGAGACACATAGACGTGCCCCACCCACACCATCAAGGCTCTAAAGCAACTTAATTGATAGTGAGCCTAGTCACATAGACGCACAGCACATACCCGCACACATTACACAAAAGCACAAAGACGAATGATCACATCAAAGCAGTAACTCCGTATCCATATTATTCATCTTCCATCTAGCATTCCTCTGGATTTTCCAACCGCATTAGTAACTTAACAAAAAAAGAGCAATACCCTTGGTCCTTCTGCACTCTCTTCTGAACAACCTTTAATAGCTCAGCTAACTCATCCCGGGAAAATTTGAGTTTCTGTAGCTCATCCTGGTCCGGACAACTGCTGCCTTCCTGGTACGCATTCCCTGCTCTGATAGCTACAAGCAAAAGTCCAAGACTCAGGCTCAAATGTTATACCAAAAGAAGCCAACTTAAAAAAAATCACAGACACACAAAGCACATAATCCCATTGATTTTCACAACACAGAAACTAACTTTCAAGCTAAGGTCTCGAATTACTACTTCCCAGTCACAGCCCTAGCAACATCTAAGACGCTAAAGCTAAGAACAAGGGAGTTGAGAATCGAACTAAATCAACAACACATCCTTTTAAAAAACAAGGTTATCGCGAGAAGGAATCAATTAAGCAAGGAAGCCTTACCACAGTAGCGCAGGTAAATCTTGGAGATGTCGACCCAATTCGAGTCGAATGAGTTCATCTCTAGGGTTTACTTCAATCGAAGGATACCGCGAAACCTCAAACAAAAGCTTTACGGCAAGTGACGAAGAGGCAAAGACTCAATTTTGACAAAGGGATTGTGACGAATGAATGAATTGTGCAGCCGGGTAAGATTTAAGCTTCCAGCTTTTTATCTCTCCCAGCCTGCCTTTCCCTGCCCTGCCTTCTTTGCGTGTCAGCAATTTCCTTTTCGTTCCATTTTCTCCCTTTTTTTTCCCCAATTTTATTCGTAATAATCAATCGCCATGGAATGGAAACTGTTAGCGGCAGGAAACAAACGACCGATCGAAGACGAATCGAAAATTTTCTGCGAACTGGACCTCGATAATGTGGGCCGCATCATCAAATGGGCCGATGGAGATTCGACCCAAGAATTTGAACCCGCCCATCTGGGGTTTTTTTTTTTTAATGTCCCATCTGGATTCGTATGCAGCTGCCGGAGAGAAATTTCAGTTTCACCCCGCTTCATTTTCTTCTTTCAATCGCCATCAGTGGCAGGCGGCAGAGAAGAGAGGAGTTTGGTATCTTTTTCCCCTACTGATTTGATTCAAGTAAGTCTGCTTTTGCTAACTGGGATCTGTTAGAGCCTGATCCTAATAGGATAGATCATGTTTGGATTTAGCGTCCCATTTGGGGTTTTGTCGAGCTTCTGATAAATGGCGATGACCCTATTTGAGTTTGCTTTTACGTTCATGCTTTAACTTCCATTTCTGATAAATGGGTTGATACTGACTTCATTTCATTGCATTTCATCTTGTTTTGGCTGGCAGTTTGGGGCTCTTGAGCTTGCTGTTGTTACTCTGGTTCAAAATGGCGAATGCCACCAAAGGATTGTTCATTGCCTGGTGAGTTTGTTCACTTTCTATTTCGAAGCCAAATATTACTCTAGTGATGTGTACAATTCTGCTATGGGGGTGGAAACCTGATTACTTTATTAGCACTATTACCCATAAATGATGGATTGTGAATGGAATTTGGGTGAGTACAAATGGCTTAGGCGGCAGACATCGTCGTTGTATGGAATGGCTTAGAATGTGTTTCCTTCTGGGTTCCTTTACCTACCTGGGAAGAGTTAAATGATGCATCTGTCACCCACCCATGGTGCTACAAATGTGTGATGAACCAGTGCAGTATGACAGGCCTTTTGATTGCGTATGTGTAGCATGCAAAGAACAAGGATTCCATGCCAAGGTTTCTGTTCAGGTTTCCCTTCATTGCCAGTGACTGTTTTCTTGTGTCCTCTCGTCTTGTTGAATTGGCATCTATGGTCACAGTGACATACCAATGGCACAATTCATCGTCAACCTGAATGCTTCAAAGCCCCCGTCGCAGAAGTTCATCATTCATGTTCTGGATGACACGCATCTGTTGGTGCAGCCCGATTCTGGTGGTACGATACGAGCTGCCATTTCAGAATTCAGAGACAAGAACTCCTACGAGAAGCCGGCTTAAATCTGCTGCTGCCTTCTTGAAATGACTGGCCTAGAAGAAGAAGAAGAAGAAGAAGAAGAAGAAGAAGAAGGGAGGTTTGTGCAAAATGGAAGTTCCTGGATGAACAAGTTTATTGTTTGTTTAGACTTATTCTTTCTACATAGAAACCGTATACTTTGAATTTTCATTGTTCTAGGTTATATATGGACATGAATGATGAAACTGTGTAATTTGATTTTCTGAGTGCATGTATAAGATGATAGAATCTAATCAAATCTCAATCTCTCTATCAGCAGTGTAGTATATATAATGACAAGCTAAGTTTAGACAAAGAACTCATTCTGTATTTGGTTAGATTCAATGGATGGATGAATGAATGAAAAAATTACCTACATGGCCTTGCTCTTCCTTCGAAACCTATCAAGATGTCGGTATTGCCGGTTAAATTCAAGGTATGGATGAAATATTCCTGGCAAATTAAACATTGTGACTTGTTTTGTGTCATTGAAACCATAAACTCTTATAAAAACTATATTTTACGGCGAGGAAGGGATATTATATATATATATATATATATATATATATATATATATATATCTTTGTCACTAACTCTCATAGTGTGGTGACACTTGCTATATTCCTATGTTTAACGGTTAGATCTTCTTGTGCATAATAAACTTTGTGGATGGTTTTCATTAGAGGTTAGATCACAGATGTACAAATATCAATTACCAAAGACCAGCTGCCCGCAAATGGCATCACAAAAATAAGTGTTGATGCTATGGTGTATGAAATTCAAATGTACAAGACGAGTTAATGATATTTAGTGGTATGAATATGATTTAATCGATAGCATGTCGAAAGAATATCAATGTCTATACTGAAATAGAAAAGTGTATTCAACATGTAACATATAAGTATATAACACCCGATTGAAACATGACAAAGAAATTGATATGTTACCGATAGGCCGTTTTACCTAATTATACAAGCTTACATGATTTTTCTGTGTCTCAATCTAGATATAACACGATTTCACAAATTATGGTTCACTTCAGAAAGATATCTTTCGAAAATTTTATGTCACTGTTATTGCAAACGTTTTTTTTTTTTTGTGAAAGTTTGTAGTGCAAATGTGGAATTAACCCTAAATTGATCCTCTTATACAAAAACTTAACAAATATTAACTCGATCAAAATTTTGAATTTTCTCTTTTAAAAAAACTAGTTTTGTATTAATAGTGGTCTGACTGGGAATTTTCCTGCTATGAAAGGACTTAGGCAAGGCTGTCCTTTATCACCTTATTTGTTTGCCATAAGTATGGAAGTCCTCTCTTGCATGCTCAATAGAGCAGCAACTAGGAAAGTGTTGCCATACCACCCTCAGTGCCTCAGAATAGGGCTAACTCACCTCTGTTTTGCAGACGATCTGCTGATATTCACTAAAGGGTCGGGGGAGGCAGTGGGGACTGTTGCTACTATCCTGGAAAAATTCTATCTCGTTTCTGGACTAAGATGCAATCCTTCCAAAAGTGAATTGTTCTGTGCGGGTGTGAATGAAGAGGAAAGGGGTTCGTTGGCTAGCTGTTCTGGATTTAAGGAAGGAGCCCTACCTGTTAGGTATCTGGGGATTCCACTAGCTGCAGGTAAACTGAAAGCAGCAGAGTGCAGAGCTTTGGTGGAGAAGATAACTAGTCGTATTAGAGGTTGGCAAGCAAAGCTGTTGACATATGCAGGTAAACTCTAGCTAATAGTTGTTGTTCTAGCCAACATTACTCAATTCTGGATGAACATCATTCAGCTCCCCAAGAAAGTCATACGTGAAGTGGAAAACTTGTGTTCGAAGTTCCTGTGGGGGAATCTGGAGCAGAGCAAGAAAGCTAAAGTGGCCTGGAAACATGTAGCTTTACCCAAAGAAGAAGGTGGCTTGGGGTTTAGAGACTTGTGGTCGTGGAATCAAGCATGCTTAGCTATGCATATTTGGGTTGTTCTTGTAGATCAGGAGACCTTGTGGATAGCGTGGTTGAAGGAATATAGGCTACGTAATCTGAGCATCTGGAAAACTCAGATGAAAGGGTCCTGGGTCTGGAACAAAATCCTCAAGATAAGACCTCTTATTAGCTCACATCTGGTTAGGACTGATGATGGTGTGGAATGGGATGGCTCTATCATGGACAGGTTCAGAATTAAAACAATCTGGGGGGGCTCTTAGACCAAGGCAGGCTACTATTCCCTGGGTCAAACTGGTATGGATGGGGCCTCTGATCCCTAAAAATCCCTTATTAGCTTGGCTCGTTCTGCAAAACAGAATCACTACTCTGGACAAGATTAAGAGATGGAATCCTGAAGTCATTGACAGCTGCCCTCTCTGTCTTTTTGAGACAGAGTCTCGAGAGCACATTTTCTTCTCTTGTTCTTATGTCAGGGAACTTTGGTGCTTAGTTTTTGACCCATGGCAATTTCCTCTTGTGGGGTCGTTTCATAGCGAAGTGTTAGCTGCGGTTTGCAGGGTGGGAAAATGCTCGACAGGGCGTCTCATTTGGTGTTTGCTGGTTAGTGAAGTATGGCGTGAGCGCTGTAGAAGATTATATGGCAACAAGTCCATGTCTCCACCAACACTGGCTCGCAAGATGGCCCAGGAGGTGGAGCTCAAGCTAGCAGGAGATGTTGCATTTGCAGTGGCACCTGAGGGTAAACCACTTTGGTTCAAAATGACTTAATCTGTTTGTAGGTCCTAGCTAGATGCTGACAAGTTTATATGGTTTTGCTGTAGTAGATGTTGTTTTCTTTTGTTTCGATGTCTGATTGTTTTTAGTTAGGCCTAAAGTAGTGTTGTAATGGGGTTGTAATTGCTGGTGCCAAACTGTGTATTCTGATTGTATGATGAATAAAGCCCACCATTCATCGGGAAAAAAAATAACTAGTTTTGTACATTGATAAGTTGACCGAAAGAATTTTTCTTTTAATTGAGAAGTAACAAATTAATTCGACTCAATAATTTCGTTTGAAATAATTAGACCTAATTCAATCAATTGACAACATAAAATTTTTGATGGAGCAATTTGATAAAGGTAAAATTCTAAATTCTAAAACTTTTTTTCCTGCATCGATTCTGCTCAGCTACCCCAAGCCCCCACACGATCAAAATTGTCCATGTGGAAGCACATGCTTCCCTTTCTTTTGCTCTCCTCAATTATCCCCCACCTAGCCAGCCATGAACCTTCCTCCTTTCCTCTTCCCGACTTCCCTTTCCACTCTCTCGTTCTCTCTCAAGTCCTCAATTATCTAGCCATTGACGTTTCAATGACTCTGCCACCGCCGCCGCCGCTACTCAAATCATCACCAGCAGCTCCTCGAACTACAGCAGCCACGCCAGCTGTGCTGCTCTTCTCGCTCATCGTATTCGCTGTCTCCGCTGTCATCGTGATCGTCGCTGCTGCTGCCTACTCCCCGAATTTAAACAGCTCCCTCGTCCTCGCCGCCGGCTTCATCTTCGCCTCCTTGGTTGTCGTCGTCGCCAGCAGGGCCGTCATGGTCACTTGGATCACCGTGCTGGTCCTGCTCGCCTTCGCCGGGAAGCGCCGCCGGGTTCTCGTCCAGCACGGCCAGAAGATCACCACCGACATCGTCGTCAACTTGTTTAGATGCGCCGCCTAGCCCGGCGGCTCCCCGACCAGATCCTCCTCCTTCCTCCATAATTTTGTGCAGAGGGTTTAACTTTTAATTCTGGGGTCTTGCTCAAAAAGGGAATACTATTCCCCTGTTTTTTTTTTTCTCCTTCTTTCCCTTTTCATCTGTGTATTCTGTAAATGTAATCGTTGAATCTCACCAATACGAAAGAATAGTTGGGCATGCTCTGACTGTTTGAAGGACCATGAGCCGGAAAAAGGATAGTTGCGTTACTTCCATCATCGGAAAGAGAGGTTGGCTCGTATTGGTCCGAAGCAAAGAAAGAAAAAAAAAGATGGGTTCTTCTCTTTCGCCCAACATAGGCCACTCCATGTGAGAGAGAGATAAAATAAAAGGAGTTGCAGAAGCTATAGCACCATCCAACCCCGAACACACGTAAAGGTGGAAACTAAATTTGTACACTTTAGGGCTGAACTATTTCTATGCATATGCTCATTCTATCAATGTAGCTCATACACTCCCAAGTCCCAACTATTAAACACAAAAAACCAGAGGAAGCTAGCTGCCCTTGAGGTTCTTGAGAATGCAGGAGGCTTCATTATGATTACATTGTAAGATATCGTGCTCTCTCGAGTCGGAAATGAAAGCACGAGATTGAAACAAAATTTTACCATACAGGCAAGCTCGAGTGACAGGATAACTTCTTTCCAACCATAGACAGCAACGACTCAGCAAGCTGAGTAGAATGCAGAAAAGCGATTGTCCAGGCAAAACTCGAGGTGTCTCCTGGCATAACTCATGACAGCAGCGGAGGTGGAAAGAATGGAGTTTGATATCTAACCCATTTAGTTTCTGTGCTTATTCCATGATAGAATTACTCGGAGTGAAGATGGTGTTTCCTTCTGCGGCACCTGTTTACGTACCAAGAGGCATGCTTTTGCAGTCCCATACCGATCATTATCTTCAGGCTTGTGAGCATGACAAAGGTTATGGAAGTCAAAAGGAATACCCAGAAGAGTCTCCAAGGGAGTGGGCTGTACGGTAGGTGAGCTGCATATACTGGAATAAGCACTCGGATGACCTGCAAACAATAGATTAATGCTCTTAACCCAACAGAACCAAGACAAACTGTTCCATTTGGTGATGAATATGAGCAGCACTCAATTGTAAACATAGTAGGAGGGGAAACTTCTATCACGACTTACTACGCATGCTGGTGCCAGCGGTATAAAAGTGAGAATCTTCTTTTTGTCCCCAGATTGAATATTTAGAGTCTGCAAAAGCAAACGACATGGGTTGGCAAGGAACAAGTAGCAAAAGGACTAAACTTCCGCTTCTGAAACAAAACCACAATATACAAAGCATAGGGTACCTGATTGCACAGCTCTTCTAAGAATTCAGAATAGGCGATAGGTTTTATGTCATTGAACTTTGCAAGGAATGAATGCTTTATGATGTCGATTAACATTTCACATACAAAAACCAAGAGTGCATTCTGCAATCAGAAACAAGGTTCGGGGAAGGAAATGGATCAGAATACTAGATAATGAAAGCCCTATAGGAAGTTCAATTATGTATGCAACCTCTGAAGTGACTCACATAAACAAAACTCTCAAACCATGGACCCTCAGCTTCTAGGATGTTTTGAGCCAAAACAAACAGTAGAAATGCTGTAATATGGAATCTCTCCACTGAATCTGGTGGAAAGCAATAGGTAAGGACGTTACGGCAAAGTTAGACAATCACTTGAAAAGTCATCAATATTTAAACTTTAAACATGAAATTGGGTTCAATGACATTCGACTGCTATAATCAGCACAAAGGACTGAAGGAGTAATGCCTTCCCATTAGAATGGAACTTATTACTTTGAAAGATTGAATGCAATAAAAGGTACGACAAAAAAAGGTGTCAAAATGCAGATGATTATAATGAAGGAACTCACCAGCGTATACAATATTGTGAATGTTCTCTTTGCTGAAACGCTTAAAGACATTGCTTTTTATCTCCGAAAAATTATTTGATACCAGCAAAGCCAATAATGCATTATTGTGAGCAACAATGCATGTGGATAAAGTAATTGCCTGAGCTAATAGAAGGAAAGAATGGAGAAGTATAAAATAGTCAAGGAACAATGTAACAAATGAACTATTCATAAAAAAACTAACCAAAAAAATAAAAACGGAACTGTGGATGAAAACACAGAGGCATCAGTAAAGGATATTGGAAAATGCCATTGCCAAGACTTGATCTGCAAGAAATCTCCAAATCCAGAATCTTTTAGTTTCTGGTGGGCAGCTAGCAAGCCCCTCAGCAGAATTGAACAATGTCTGAAATACATCTCCTCCGAAACTTTGGCATAATTTATCAAATATCTGCACATATGGCAAAAGTTCATCTCCGACTTTCTTGATCCGACTCAAAATCAGCTCAGTCCAAATTATAAATCATTAGGCTACTGATGGTGAAGCTCTATGGTATGCCAAGTGACACCTTTTCCTTAAAATTTGACTTCTCCATAAATCTGACTAAATAAACACTAATTATAACCACCATTGAAACTGTGAGGCATGGTTTCTTGACAGCTAAAGTCTAGTACAGTCCTCTGCTCTACCACTGAACTAAGGTTGGGACAAAGAGACATGGTTTTGGAAATCTTTGATACCCTTTATTTTTTAAATGTAGAGGGGAACACTCATTAAGCTGTTCGAAATCATTAGTAAATCTAAATTTCTGAAGTCTGTGAGAACTGAAAATAATGCTTATTTTTAAATCTCACCTCCAAAACATTGTAAACCACATATAGTTTGATCGTTCCTTGACCACGAATCATGTGATATATTAAGCTGATATCTGAAATAAGAAAATTAAGAATTTCAGCGGTTGGCATTACTAGTTAAAAAAAAAAAAAGCAAACAAAAACACAACACTATCTCCTCCCAATTTCCAAAAACCCGGCCCAAAACCTATAGCAGCTGGTAGTGTACCTGTTCGGTCTAAAAGAAGGACTCCAGAGGCCAACACAATAAAGCAGCCAAAATCTGACCAGTCCGCAGCAGAGAGCTTCTGGAACTGCCTGCCATAAACATGGTTAGATAATTTTGTAAATATTAGTTTCATAAGATTTATCCACCCAAAATTAAGATTTAAGTTAAATCATTTTCCAGGAATTATTTACTGCATGCCTAGTGCACCCATGAAATGATAAGCATAATCATGTTCAACAAAATGGAAAACTTCAGGGATCAGGAAGAAAAATCAACAATCATATACACAAAATGATAAAAAGAACACTAATTTCGACCCAGACCACCAAACAAAAAGGTATGTCATGATAAACTATATCGAACCTATCTCTGAAGTTATGTTAAATAAAAACCAGAACGTTGCATCTAAATCCAATAAAATCATTCAAACAAACTCACAATGGAGCACCTATCTATTCAATAAGAGATTAAGCCAAAAATAAAGTGTTAACAAAAAACTATCCTATGATATCCATCAACATGCTGACACACAAACATTGGTTCTTCAAGTTATTAAAGGCTAGAAGGCCTGATCCCTAACTGATTCAGCAAATACCTTCACAATTTAGTTGATACATTCCAGCAAGTCTTCTCCCATCACAGGAAGATACTTAAAGAGGCTTAAATTGAGTAGGAAAAGGAAACAAAGATCACAGGGGCTCCAAAGCAGAACAAAAAGTGACCCCGAAATCTAGCAATTCAGGCCTTCCATTAACCAATCAAAATCACAGACTAGTGCCACATAAATCCCTCGACAGATTAGTCCGACTTAAGTAAAAAAATTTGAAAACCTCAAATGAGCAACAGAAATCTTGCAATTCAGACCTTCCATTGACAGCAGCACAGGTGTAAACTATAGTAGAACTTTCTATGTTTTAAATATTGTTCTTTGAGGGTTCAAGATCCTTACTGAACACAACTACCAAGTGCTAATGAATAGAGCATGTAGCATATCCTATAGAGCATTCTTCCTCAAAATTTGCAGGACATGTAATTGGGACTATACCCTATAGTAAACAGTGAGATGAAAGATCTTAGCTTGTCTTCAAAAAAGACTAAGCATAACTTGAAACTGGGGGAAGAAAGCATTTGGAGTCAACTCAGAGGAAATTGAAGATGATCATTGCAATATAGAACAAGCCCTGGCCTAATAATCACTCTTTCTACTGGTCCAAGAATTGATGTATGTGTGCAAGTACATGTATGACTAACCTTCTCTTGAGAAGCCTCCAAAGAGTCATCAGAACTCTTGTTGGCATGACAGTCAACAGTGACAGGAAGGAATCCAAACACACGAAGAAGCCAACATCAATAAGCTGCAATAGTAATTCCTTTTCGTGTTAAAACAAGACAGGATGAAAAGGCTTATAAATCAAGGAGACAGGTAACCTAGGACTTCACAGAAGCTGAAACCCGGGACCAGAAAAGATAATTCGGATTACCAGCTCACATCGCCATGGTAAGCGAAATAGAGTGTCGTATACCCTCTCCCTTTCTTTCTCACTGCCAAGAGTTGTTGTTCGCCGTAATGAGTTGCCTTCGTCTATTTCATCCATGAAGTAATTCAATGGTGACTTCTCCACTGAAAAGAGATCTGACGCAGCAAATGTAACAGTGAAAAACGTAAACAGCATGGAATAAGACACAAGGTCCTACAAGATAAACACTCATTAACAGCAAAAGGGAGCCTTTTGATATGGGATCAGCTGGCCTGTGATAATAAGGTTCAAATAAGCAGAACAAGATCACCACTTTCATGAACATTCATGGCCTTCTGAAGCATCAAAACATAATTTACAGAAACTGTTTACTTACAAGTAGGATCCTCGGCCATGAGTCGCTTCCAATCCAATGACTCTGCAGTCTCCAACCTCGGCAAGCAACCGCCATTGGGCATTGGCGGCGGCTCATTTCGCGGTTTATCATCAGAAACGACCTCCAACTCGCGCTCCACGGTAGTCTCTCCAATCACCCTCAAAACAGACGGCAAATCCTCATCATTCCTTCCCTCTCCTTCTCCTCCTACGCTTACAACATTCCGCTGCCTCAACTCGACATAGCTGTTGCCGCCGTTGTTGGTAGAGTTATCGCACACACACTCGACGACAGTAATTGTCGGTGTAGTACAAACCACGCTGCCTCCTCCACCGTATCGGCTGCTATACCTATCCTCCATGAACACGCTTCCATTTTGCAACTCCCCCGTTGCAGATATCGGCGACTCGATCACGGAATTGGAATTTGAATTTGAACCCGCGAGGCTGCTTCCCGCCGCCGATGGATCTTCGGCAATTGTGGAGTAGGAATCGGCATGAGGGCTCGACTTCTTGTGCTTGTTCCTCCTTCGCTTCTTCTTGGGAATGTTGTTCGTCGGGCTCGATCTCGCGGTATCGGGGCTTGATTGGCTGAGGAGAAGTAATTGGTCTTCTTCCAGAGAATTGCTCTTCGTTAAGATCTCAAAGGATAGTTTTCTACCGGAGGATCTCAACGCCATAGCCCTCTCTATCTCTCTCTGGACTCTGGCAACAGTCAGCAGCGTCAGAGGCGAGAGATCCAAAACCTGGGTAATCAATAATAAGTTAATCCAAATGTAATTAACTCAAAATTTCAATCTTTTCTACAATCTACAAAATACTATAAGGCAATGTAAACATAAATGTTTTGCCACGTAAGCTCTTCCTGTGCAACCCGCACAATACGGATGGGCTTTTCTGTAATATTGCATGGCTTCTCTTTTTCGCGCTCTCTCACCCAACCGTCCCGAAAATCCGGCCCCTCATCCTTCTGGCCTTCTATCTCCCAACCCAAACCCTCCCACATACATCGCCGGCGACCGCCTCTTGCCCTTCCCTTTCGCGCCGTGGCGTCTTCGTTCCTTCCTTCAATCTCGCTACCGCTTTGTTCTCTCTACCTTCAATCCATTCTCACCGCCACATCTCAGTCCTAATCTCAGAAACAGATTTGCCCTCCTCGAAGAGAGACTCCCCATCGACCATCGCCCTTTCCTTTCCGGCCTCCACTTATTTCTTCCTTGCTGCAAGTTCTTAGTGAGCCAAAAACTGCTACAGGAATTAGCCGATTTGGTCAGATAAGCTTCTTTTTGGAATACACAAGATTTGTTGTTGTCAAATTAGCTCCTTTATAGAATTCATCGGCTTCCAGAGAAGTCCCAGTACTCTCTTAGAAAACGCCAAATCAATTATAATTTTTAGGATTCCTACAGGTTAATCCTTGATTGTTTTAGCCTCAAATTCCATCCGCAGTGCTGCCGCAACCCGACCCAAACAAACCTCTTCGCTCACAAATTCTGGAACTTCTTCTACCCTTCCACTCTGTTCCACCTCCCCCACTGTAATTACATCCTCCGCCTCTTCTATTCTTTTTCCCCCCAAAATTTACTCAAATCTTAAACCTTGCTATTACACGGTATGTTATATTTGATGACATTAAAAGTTTACGATCTAGAAGCTTCACTATGTTGGTTTAGTTTTTGTCATTATGTTTACCCTTATTGTTGTTTATACTTTATAGGATTGACCTCTTTTATTTGCGCATATAGCGTCTTTTGCTCCTTTTAGTTTTTTTGTCTTTGCTCTTTTGGCTTTCATAGTGTTGGTTGGTTGACTGTGGAAGAAAAGAAAAATACATTGTTAAATTATACCATCAATCAAGTGAGATAGAAGTTCCATTGCAGATTCTCTATTGAATTTCAAGATTGGCTTTCAATAGAAGTAATAGTGGAATACATATTCATTTGTTTACATATTTAACTTTAAAAAGGGTAAAAATCACAGCAAACAACTCTCCCAACCCCAATCATAAATTATGATTTGGGCTGACCATAATTAAGTTATTTGGCTAATATTAGTTGGGAGTTATAGTGTTTCTGTCTTTGAGTAGCATATGGTTCTTCTTTAAAGAGCTTTCTGATCTATTTTTTTTTTATTTGATTTTGTTAGTGAAGCACTTCTACTATACTTTAAAGGATTGGTATTTGAGATACAAATTAAAGTTGAATCATAACATTAGAGGTACAAGTTCAGGTGGTATTATAAGAGAATTTGTACCATTAAGAAATTTGTACAAAAAGTATATATACAACCTGAACTTGTGTCATAACATTAAAGCACATCTTGAATTTATATCATAAAAAGAAAGAAAAAACTAATACACCAACACTTTAAAGCATTGTAAAATTCGTCTTTCTTAATCATAGTCACATCTTAAATTTGTTCCAATTGTTGTGGATATATAAGACTTATCAAGCTATAATGAGAAGAGGGTAAAGGTTATTCCTAATATAAAAGGATATTTGTCATAATATGAAAAGTTAAACAATCTGCCTACATGAATTCAGCGATAGAGAAAGACTGAGCTTGCCCTCATGATATACACTGTCAATTTGAATTGTATGAACATATGTTTCTTGACAAAGATAGGTTTCTCTTTTGAGCAAGCCACTTTTGTTAAAAACATGTTTGCTGTGATAATGGTAACTTAGGAAGTCTTTGATTCCACCTGTTACACCGACACGTGTTGGCCGTTATCTTTACTTTGTCCATATTTTGGTTATAGGAACAGAGAATTATGTTATTATTTGAATTTAACTCTATAATAATCATAGGTATAAACAGTTGCGGAGCTACAAATCTTAACGAGGAGATGACTTGAATTATGGTAATTGAGCTAGAGGGCTAAAGGCTTGCCATCTACTCTATATCCTAAATTCCAATTCCTCTAAAAATCCAGTAAGTTGTTAACATGAAACTGAAATTGCATGTTGAACACTCAATTTAACTTGATCAACCCTCAAGCTAAGTATTTTTGGTCAGCGTATTGAATGAAAAGTCGTCAACATTTAGATTATAAATAATAATTGGTTGGACATAATTTACTAACTTAGTTTCATAATTTGTGTTTCTCTTATCAATATAATTGCATTACAGTAAATAAGTGAAACATTAAGTCAACCTGTGACAAGATGAAACAAAGTTGGTAAATTATGAGAACAACCCACAAGATGAAACAAAGTTGGTTCTGAACTTTGAGGAAACTTGCAACACTAAGCCGAATCTAAAGGTCTTGAAGAGAGTACCTTAAAGAGGCATAAAAGAAATATATAGTTGATTGACACTGAGGAAGAGGAATATAATTGTTAGAATAATTTTGTAGTTAAGGTTTGCTTTGTGATTATTACGTTTAGTAGCGTGCTTTTCATTTATAGTACGTTAGTGAGTGGTTTGATTTTCGGAAGCTCACGCTTCTAGATTGTAAATAGTTTCGCTGATATCTTTTGGTTATTGTTGTCCAATGAAAATGGGACACTCAAGTTGAAATCACACGCATTTTGTGTGTTTATGACAGGCACAATATAATTTAATGTGTTTATCACAGCACCCGCCTGTAATTGTGTGGCAACAACCTGCATCTATGTGAGTTTAAGTTTATGTTAGAAACCGAAGAGTCATTCCCAACAGTTTATAGCAGTAAATCAGCAATAACTGCATTTGTGTGGGTATATGATAGCAACTTCGCTAATGTGTGAGTTTAAGATAGTAGTTTAGTTTACTTCCATACTGTGGCAACTTAGTATGCTAACAAAATTATAAGCAGCTTCAATTTACCTTTTTTTTTGTGTTTAGTGTCATTATAAGCAGCGTATAATTGCAGCATCTAACTTTGCCGGCCAACGGGCCGGGCCCAATGCTAGTTTACCTAATAGCCTGTGAGCTACGAACGGGAAGGTAATTAATCCCCGGGCCCGGAATCCCTAATCAGAATTTTGAGAATATTTTCCTGGAATCCTGCTGAAAATTGGTTATTTAGTTACTGACTTTTATCCTACTAAAAATTGGCAAACTTTTATTTTTATTAAAAATAAAAAATTATTGGTTTTAGTGATGCATCCGACTTATCACTTGAATTCTATATATTGTATCAATATAATTGATTAAACGCAAATAACAATGATAATTTATATACTTAGATTTATATCATTGCGGGTTATTATGGTTCTCGACTTATTACCAAAAAAAATTATGGTTCTCGACCAATAAACACTAATGAGCATGAATTCAAACTCTAATCAATTCACTAATATTCAAAACATGTAGGATACATTTTCCGAAAGTTAGTTTATGAATTGATATACATCCGTTAATAATTAAGTTAGATGAACTAATGCGCTAATAGACGAAGTGATTACTATTGTCAAACGGTCTAAATTTCAACCAGGTGCCGGATACGGTGACAACCAAGATAATTTGGGTATGAAAAAATGAATTTATTAATTAATTACTTTGTATTAATTACACATTGAGAATTAAAATCCCATATTAATTACATGCCTTTTTTAAAAAAATTAAACTCTACAATTAATACGCTTGTATCTTTCTCTATCTCTTTTTTTTTTTCCAATAGCCTCTCTGTTCTAGCCTTCAAACTTTCTCCGACCGGCAGACTTTTTTCCGTTGAAATCCTTCGATCAGACTCACTCCTGCCACCTGCAAAAAAGTACCACTTCATCAGTGCGCTAGTGGTAGTGATTTTCGACTAGTGGTACGCTACCATTGGTATTGGTACGATACCACTACTCGTAGCGCTATCAGCACTAGTGGTACGCTACCAGGGCTAGTGGTACGGTACCATTACCACTTGTAGCGCTACCAGTACAACTTGTAGTCGTAGTGGTAGCGGTACCAGTACCACTGGTAGCGGTAGCGATACAAGTGTCACTGGTAGCGTACCACTAGAGACTAGCGCAAAAAAGCCAGATCTGAAATATGAAAAATCACAGATATGGAGAAAAAATCAGGGATGAGGAAAGGAGGAGGCATGAGAGAGGCGGTGACCTCGTGGCGACAGTGGTGGTGGGAGACAAAGGGCGACTGGAGGGTTGCGACGGGGAGAGGGTGATAGCGCGACGGTGGGAGGAGGAGGCCGCGATGGCTGCGGTGGGAGGGACATGGCGGTGCTGGGAGGCGGAGGGCACGACAGCAGGAGGGTTGCAGCGGTGATGAGAGGCGGAGGGTCGGCGAGAGGGCTGTGGCGGCGGCGGCAGCCGACATAGAGAGAGGGAAGAGATGGGAGGAAGAAGAATAGGAAGAAGAAAGTGTGTGTGTGTGTGTGTGTGAGAGAGAGAGAGAGAGAGAGAGAGAGAGAGAGAGAGAATGTAGGGTTTTGGGTATTAATAGGGGTAACTATCTAGTGTGGTCAATTTTTTTCGTCCAAAAATACCCTTAATCCAATATGTACCATTGATTTGTAAAAAAGAAGAAAGAGACAAGAGAGAGAATGAATTCTATGGTTATAAAATGGGTTGTCAATCTCACAATTGTACATGGGCGATGGGTCGTGCTTGGGACGACATGTCACAGGCACGCTTCGGGCCCATTTATTTTGTTTCGTGCTTGGCACGGCCCGTCAGTTTTCGTGTCGTGCCATGCAAGCCCATTTGTTAACTTTGCTAGGCCCAGCCCAGGTCCGAGCACGGTTCGAATCGTGTCGTGCCATGCTCATATTCGTGTTTAGTGAAAAGGACGAAAACAAAAAAGAGAATGAAAAAGAAGGTGAAAATTGGACGTGGGAAGATAGTATTAAACGATAATGTTTGAGAAAAGTAACAAATAAGGGGGGAAAAAAAATTAGAAGTATAGCGAGTGTGATTTGGCTTTGTTTAATTCTTTGTCCATTTTTACTTACGTTAGTAATTACATATATATCTTTATGACACTTCTAACAACAACAAATAATTATTTTTCTACTTGTGTTTTGTAATATTTGAACCTATAATTCTTTTTATATTTATTTTCTATCAAATAAATATTATTTTCGTGTCATGTCCGTTCTTATACTCAATAAAGTCTCGAAAATATTAGGCCCGACACGGCCCACTTGTATACTGTGACGTGCCCGTGCCCATGAAGTTTAGGCCTGACACGACCCATAAATTATTCGTGCTCATGCCGTGCTGGCCCATTTATTTCGTGCCCGTGCTCGTGTCGTGCTCTAAGAGTGCCGTGTCGTGTTAGCCCGTGGACGGCACGGCCCGGTGCGCACGTACACTCACAATCCCTAATAGGGTTGTCACGGTATTTGATCCCTTTCAACCAAAATGTTCACTAAAAAAATTAAAAGCTCAGCAACCAATTTGGCCAGTGACCGTAAACTCAGTGACTGTTTGTGTAATTTGCAAATATCACTAATTCGCATTTCTTCTTCTTTCACCCAATAAACGAAAAGAAAAGTTACACGCGCGGCGTTTGGAGTCGTCGTCGTCAGTCGTCTTTCTTGCCGCTGTCTCTCTTCGTGCTCATTCATAGTTGGATGCTGCCTGTGACGAATAGAATCGATCCACCATACACCGGAGGCCACGACAGTATCTCTTCTTCTTCTTGGAAGTCTGTCTCAATACTTTCCGATCAAGTTTTGGGGTCAGTTTCCCGGTGACCTATTTGTCGAGGTAATTTCCAATTGGTCTGGACCTTTTTTCTTCCCGCGCTTTCACCGTCAACTATGCCCTCTGCTTCATTAAAGCTTCCAACTTGGTCCGTTTCTCCTTCCTTTTGTGTGGTTTTGAATTTGGATTTTGACCATTCCACTGCAAATTCTATAGGCTGAACTTATATTTGAACAACCTAGACAATGGGTTTACTTCGTCAATCTGAAAAACTGGGGCTGCCGCTGATGAATCTTGTTAGATTCAAGGGAATGCCCATACTCGACCAACTCAAGTTGGAGGAGAAGTTGCTAAGGACGACTTCAGATAACTGGTGTATTGTTAATGATGGAGCAAATGCCCCTACCATAGTCATGGGAGTATCAGGGTAAAGGAAGTAATCTCATGTGGTTCTGCCAAAATGTAATCTTGGCAGCTGTTGAGGCGTGAAATTGATAGATATGAATATTGCTGCAGGAAATCGGCTGAACTTCTTGAACTCGAGTCTGTGATTGGAGATAATGTTCCTGTTATCAAACGATTTACTGGTGGTGGTACGGTTATAGTCGATGGAGGGACTATTTTTGTTACTCTCATATGCAACAAGGATGCTGTTCCTAAGGTGCAACCATATCCTCGTTCAATCATGTCTTGGAGTGGTAAATTGTATGATGAAGTGTTCCAAGGGATTGGGGATTTTCAACTGCGGGAGAATGGTAAGCAAAAGCTTTCCATTAGAAACTGTTTTGAGACATTGCCTAGTCCGCCACATTATCTTTTTGCTTCTGCCATGCAGCCTATATTTCAGTGTTCCAAATCATGGTGTTTTTTTCTGTTACCAGATTATGTGTTTGGTAATCGCAAGTTTGGTGGGAATGCACAATCCATAACTAAAGACCGGTGGATTCACCATACTTCCTTTTTGTGGGACTATGAGGATCGGAATATGACTTATTTGAAGCTACCTTCCCGTGCTCCGGAGTACAGATCGGTAGAACATTGTTTTCATTTACCAGTTTTTTTCGTTAGCTTTCTGATGGAAGGGTCTTATGATATGCGTGGTTGGCTTTCCATAATCTTACAATTGTTGGGCATCCATGGCATAATCCTTTGTGTTGTTGAAACTTGAAAGGATACATTTGTTTTGTCGCAGGCAAGAGACCACACAGAATTTGTGTGCCGGATGAGGGAGTATTTGCAGAGATCGGCTTTCATAGATAAAACCATCAAAGCTCTTGACAACTACTTTATGGTGCAACCAGCAACCCCAGCTGACGTTAACTCCTGTCAGGTAGCAAAATTTGCTCACTCCACTAGGCTTCTGTCGAAGCAAGAACTTGAGGATGCTTGCTCATCTACTAAACCTGGGACTATAGCTCAGAGTGCAAGCATTTGATTCGGCAAACAGAAAGTGTGTTGTTGCTTGCCTCGAATGTCAAGGAGCTCCTTCCACAGGTTTACACTCGCTAACCCAAGTTTCATAATGTTCAGGAGTTATGTTCATATTGTTACTTTTTTCCATCTTCAACATGAACCGTTGAACCAATTGACCACAAGCACATTGTTTACAGTCCTGCTTTTCAAATTCATGCGAGGCAGAGTCAAATAAAATAACCCCCTCGTGGGTAGGGATCTATAGTATTTAATGGAGTTGATGAAACTCTCACCTGAAGTCTGCTAGGCCACAGTGAAACGTAAACAACACAACACACAGAAGAAAAGGAACAGTATTGTGAAAACTACCACTGTTGTCCTGCTTTTGCTGTAAGGCCCACCACAAGCCTCTTTTCCCCAGTTTTGTTACTTGCTTACTGTTGCATGTTGCGATTTTCTGGTAACCGTCCATGAATATTATTATTATAATAGTTTGTTGTTTGTCTGTTCTGAATGTTTGACACAAACGAGATGACAAAACACTTGGCCACTTCCTTGCTGGAATTTAATTGTCCAGCAGTTTTAGGAAGCAGAATTTAAGGAAGTCTGTTACTGAAATGGGACTAATGCTATTCCCATGCTTCCAGAGCTACCCCTTTTTATGCTTAATATTGGGGCTGCGTAAACTTGCCCCAAAAAAGAAAATACATGCAGAATTCAGAAAGAAGTAGATTGACAAGGCAAAAGAGGATTGATTGATTGTTTGTTGCAAACACGAAGGTTGAAACTTGAAAGGCTACTAGCTAGCTAACCTGTTTGAGTTAGTCCTAACCCAGAAACACTGCCTCCTTGGGAAATGCATCTTTTCCCCGGCTCATGATAACATACTGATCTCAATATCTCATATATAATCCTAACCCACTACCCACACGAGTGTCTCTTTCTTTCCCCATGTCTCCCTTTTACCTAGTTTGGAAACTTTACATCTTGCTGTATCTTCAGGCTCCAACTCCAAGGAAGTCTATAAATGGTGGTGGTGGGGCTGAGGGTTTGCTGGTGTTGAATAGGTCCCTTGTTGTTGTTGCTTCTGCTGCTGTGGTTTCTGGGTTCCTTGCTAGTGATAGTGATAATAATGATGATGACGTTGATGCTTCACTGACTGTGACTCCAGATGCTTGCTTGCCACTGAAAGCAGTGAAGGTGGTGGTGTTGGTGTTGGTGGTACCATCATCTTTCACCATGTTACTCTGCTTCTTCTTCAGAATGGGACTCCATTGGCCCTCCTGACCTGCAAATTTTGGGGTAGAACCATGGTGTCATTTATCACATGGCAGTGGAAGTCTTTCTCTACAATTGGATGGGGGAAAACTATGAGGTAGTAGATTTGGAACCATGGAGCACAATGTGGACACTGATAAGAAGGAAAATAAAACAACTTTTAAACTGCATTTTGGAGCAAACCAGAAAAGACACCATAGGCCATGAGGGATTGTTGTTGTTGTTGAAAATAGTTGAGCTTGGGATTGCTGCTCCTAACAAACAATACTGGAGATGAAGATGATTTCCAATTTCCCACTGTTTCTTTTCCTCCTTTGCTATTGGTGTCTCCAGGAGAAGCAGCATTAGTGCTTCCTCCTCCACTGGAAGTTGCAGATGGGCAATGGAGTGATAATGATTCCTGGCTGCTGCCACTGGGAGCGTATTCTTCTTGCCTAACAAAACAATTAGCAGTGGAAGACTGGTTGATCTCTCTTCTGGCCCTGCAATTATTCCAGGACTGTGCTCTGTATCTCCTAGCCATTATAACATGCCAGTGATTCTTAACCGCATTGTCAGTTCTCCCTGGGAAAAACCTGGCAATCAGTGCCCATTTGTTGCCATAAGTTCTGTGAGCAGCCATTAGTTTCTCTTCCTCTTCTTCACTGAAGGCTCTCTTGATCACCCTTGGATCCAGCTGGTTGAACCACCTCAGTCTACAGCTTTTACCTTAAAAAATCAGTCAAAGAAGCAGAAGAATGAGACAAAAAAAACCCTGAGTGACAGAGAAATAGTAGAAAAGAAGAGTAAGAGGTAAGTGCAGTTACCAAACCACCCACCTGATCTTGCTTCCATCTTCTCTGCAATGAGGTTCCAGTTCTGAGGGCCATAAAGGGCAACAAGTTCCTTGAGTTTAGCATCCTCTGCAGGCCTCCAATGCCCTTTAGCAGTACTCACTTTCAAGCACCTGCTATCATCAATACTCTTGTTCTTCTTCTTCTTCTGCCTCTCCACACTGTTGTTATTGCTGTCATTATTACTGCACTTGGCCATGTCTGGAGAAGGAGAGGCCAAAAGGGTATGTGGTGGTGTGAGTTGAGTCTGAGAGGGAGAAGAATGTATATGATAATGAGTATCTGAAGAAGAGGAAGGAATGGGAGAGATGTGATTGGGGAAGCAGCAGCCATCCTTGTCTTGATGACAGCAGCAGCAACAGTAGCTGGAGCTGGAGCCAGTGGTGGTGGTGGTGGTGCTTGTTGTTGTGTTATGCAACTGTGACATGAAGGTCACTTCCATTGTTCTAAAACGGGGAAATCAAACAAAAACAGAAAAGGGGGAGGAGAGGGAGAAAGCAGAGTGAATAGAGGAAAGAAATGGGGGAAGAAGAGTGTACTTGGGCAAAGAAAAGGGGTGGTGGGGTGTTTTTGTTGTTGTTGTTGTTGCAGTAAGTTGTAACAGAAATCCACACGAGTACTCATCCTTTCTCTGCCTGCTCCCCTGCTATCTGGCCTGCACCCTCTGACAAAGCAGTTTCATTTTCCCTCTGACTCTAAAAAAGAAAACTGATGTAATAACTTTGACTCTTTCTCTGCTAGAATTACCTCACCACCACTAACACCTTGCCATCTCTTATCTCTCTCTCTCTCTCTCTCTCTTCTAGTCTCTGCAAAACAAACAACCACATTAGTAGCTTGCAGATTGCACTGTTCTAATGTGCATTTGGTTATCTTGCTTCCCTTGGCATAAGCACATAATTACTTGGTTGAATGTTGGGTCTCAAGACTCGAAATTTATGATTGTTGAATATATGCAATAACAAGAATATTACATAACCAATCATGCTTCTAACGGCTATGAATTGTGTGTAAACCAACGTACACCCTTTGACTCAAAGACCACATATACCAGGGAAGCGCGTCCTTTAGCCTTAGGAGCATAGGCTAGACTAGCCAAAATGTTGTTAGATCATATTGGTCTTTTCTTGTTTAGCTAGACAGCACGCTTAAAACAAATTTATGCAACCCAGAGATGCGGAGGATGACTTAACAAAGGATCTCGATGAGACTCCATGGATGTTACGACGGGGCGTTTGGTTTAACAAATAGATAAAGAACTCTTATCTACATAGACAAACCAATTTATTTCTTGTTTGATAGATTAGATTCTCGAAACACAAAAAAAGCTGTTTGATGACACCATTGTCCCTCCTCGTTATTTATTCATAGTGATGGCAATTTGAACCCGCTCCGTAGGTATTATCCGAGCAGATCTGCGATGGGGCGGGTATTACCCGACCCGTTGTAGCGTGGGGCGGGACATGGGTATCTACTTCCCACCCGCCCTGCCCCGCCCCGTTCTTGGCCCATTCTACCTAAATTTCTTACAATATCTATACATATTTCTTCTTTTTTTACCTTTTCAATTTGTAAGAGTCAACCTTTCAACAGGATAGACTCAATTACCCATTCTATTATCACTATTTTTAATTTATAAAGTGCTTTCTCCTTCGTTTTATCGTAAACAGTAAAATTTGCGTATGTTTTTTTTTCAAATAACATGTAAGAGTTGGTCGACCCGCCCCACCTCGTACCCACACGGATTTTACCCACCCCGACTCGTAGTAGCATACGGCAAGGTATGGATATTGAGGTACCCGCCCCTCCACGTCCCATTGCCATTCACTATTTACCCATTAACAAGAGGATTGATCAACACACTACAAACCAAAACAATCCAAACCCCATTAGTCCATTCCTTCCATTGCCAAAAGAATAACATGTGATTCGGATTCTTCAGGGTTTTTTTTTTTTTTTTGTATTGGGAATCCTTGAAGCAGAACGAAATTGCTACTACGAAGAGGAAGTAGAAGATCGAAATGAATGTGATGTGTTGTTCTGTGAAAACGAAGGAATGGTGAAGCGTTCCGTACTTCCGTGCCCAAAGTTTCCATGCCAAAAGATGCTTGGCAACGATCCAATCCCATCGGTGGGCTCGGCCCGGGATAAAACTTGTATGGGCTTGAGACAAAATTAGGCTCCGTTTTGGTTTATAAAATTGAGCAATCTCAAATTTGATTGGGCTAGCACACAACAGAAGCCCATATATAGATCAACTTGGAGTAGGTCCGTCCGTTCCATTGTTCCAAAGCCAAAGCCAAAGCCAATATCCTTCATCGTTTCCTCTTATCGATACCGTCGAAATTATAGTAGCTAGGTTTTTTTTTTTTTAATTCAAATATTAGACTTTCATATTCAATACTAATGCCTAAGACTATTAGATCAAGAGAAATTTTACAATGCTATATAATATTGGTGCTATAGGTTTTTGTTTTTATGGTACAACTTAAAATTGTACATTTACCTTATGGTACAACTTCATATTGTACCTATACTTTTTGTACAAATTCTTATATGGTACAACTTGAATTTGTACCTTTATATGATGGTACAACTTCAAGTTGTAAAGTTGTATTATAACATAATGGTACAAATTGCTTTATGGTACAAACTGAACTTATACATTTAATGTTATGGTACAACTTTGAGTTGTACATTAAAGCACCAATACTATATAGTATAGTAGAAGTGCTCTTAGATCAGACCCTTGTTCGCTGAAATTTATATGTTGTCACAGATTCACATATGGAGAGATCGTGAAGTGATTGTCGGTCCAGGCGGTAAAACAAGTTCAGAAACAAAATATCTTTGCCATGCACATGTTTCATTTAAGAGGAGGATAGTGAAGTACTGATAACGTACTTTCTCCCACAAGTATATTTTGTAATATTTGTTTATAGTAAGTAATCACTGGAACAATATGGTCATTAATACCTAAACTGTCGGCCGGTATATGTCTGGCCAAAGGACCAACTGGGAGGGGCGACGTTGTACGACGCCAGAGCTCGACCGTCGCTGGTGGTGACGAGGAAGGAGAGGCTCTGTCCGTTGAGGTAGGAATTGCTCTGCCAGTTCTGTCCCCAGTTTCTGGACATCTGCTGCCACCCTGTTCTCGAGCCCTTGATGGCGACGGAATGGACGTCGCCGGCGCCTCCGACGTTGGTGACGAGGACCAGGTTGAAGTAGGAGTGGCCGTTGACCGTGAACCTTATCCCGCCTCTTCTCCTGCACCTCACCCTGTAAATGCATATACAGAACCACAAACATGATTAATGCGTTACAAGATATCCAAGCAGTTATATTATGGGGTTTTTACTTTTTACCACGTGGTTAAAATGTATAGTTCTAAGATATTAAAAAAAAATTTACCATTAGATTAAACCTAGATATATAGTCCATCCGTTTGAAACTCGTTGATTTTTTTTATTACTTGCTGATAATTGATAAAAAAAAATAACGAATTGTGTTCTCTTATTTAGAAAATGAATCTAGTGTAACCTTAAATTGGTGACGATTCAACGAGAATGAGATTTTTTTTTTTAAGAAATTATTTTGAATTTTTCAATGTAAACGGTTTAGTAAGTCACCTGAATAATAAAGCTAGTGATAGTGATGACAATTTCAACCTGCCTCGCGGGTATTACCCGACCTGATCCGCGATGGGGCGGGTATTACTCGACCCGTAGTAGTGTGGGGCAGGGCATGTGTATCTACTTCCGACCCGTCCTCTCCAGCCCCGCCTCGTTCTAGACTCATTTTATCTCAATTTCTTACAATTTCTATACATATTTATTCTATTTTGACTTTTCTTCAACTAGTTAGAGTCGCTCTTTCAACGTGTTAGACTCAATTACCCATTCTATCATCACTATTTTTCATTTTTAAAGTGTTTTTCCCTTCGTTTTATTGTAAAAAGTATAATTTACTTGTATTTTTTTTCGAATAACATGTAAGAGTGGGTCGCCCCGCCCCGCCCCGTAGCCTCGCGGGTTTTACCGTTGTTGTGTATTATTTCTGATGTTAGAGTATGTATAGTACGAGTAGTATTATGTTATACTACGAGTACTGTTATGTAATTGGTCAGGATTATAATCCTTATCAGAGTCATATTAGTATTAGGGTTATTATCGAAGTCAGTCTATGTACTCTATATAAACTCTATGCGGTTTCAGAAATAATGCACAACAGTTTCCACCGTATTCTGATTTCTCAACAAACATAATACTCCTCGTACTACACATACTCTAACACCGACGTACGTACCCATTGTGCTGGAAGCATCGCCACCGCCGTAGAAAGTGGCGTGAGCGTTGATCCAAGGACCAGCTCCTCCTCCTCCTCCAACATGTCTATGGTACCACCCTCGACCTGATGTCAGACCGACTGAAGAAGCTGCAGCGATGATGAGAGCTTGAAGTATCAAGCAATAATCTTTAACACCAGCACCACCACCCATCTATTTCCTTTTACTTCTTCCTTAAGGAGCTAAGCTAGCTTAGTTATTGGCTGTGTATACCAATTTGAGATGGAAGTATAGGGCGGAGAAGCACAAGAAGAGAAATGTTTGCAGGGTGGGGGATCTTAATTCTGAGGAAGGAAATGTAAGGGAGAAAGCAGATCCAACAAGGCAATAAATAGAGAGGAGTGAGTGAGTCAGCTATGACCATTAATAAAACCTTCTTTCACCACCAGCTTTTCTCTGCATGTTGCAGTTGGGGACCTTGCAGACTGTTGCAGTACTACTAATTGCTAATCACTTCCTGTTTTTTTTTTTTTTCAAGTAATTTTTCGGGTGAATGAATTGCTGTAATTAAGATGTGTGATTAGCAAGGAAGGAGAAAAGGAGTTTGTAGCTTTACTATTATCTTGGAGTTTGTCTATTCCGTCAAAGTTGATAGAATGTGGGTTTTCCTTATCAAAATTCTCAATCGATCCGCTCTTGAATTTCCCAATATACATAAGTGCTTAGATTGTGAGTTTAGTGAATGGCATAGGGGACTTTGTATGATATTGGACTTGAAATATGTGACGTGGGCACTATTTGAGTCCACACATTGCTCTTTCGGACCACTTATAGTTCAGCTAGCCATTTGAGTCCTTCATAGGGAGTACCTTGACGGGCAAGGAAACGAAAACTGGGCAGAGAGATTGCATTAAACAATAAACAGTAGAAGAGAGTTTTTCTGGAAATGGGGTTGGAAAGACTGTATTGTTTTAAACACACACACACACACAAAAAGAGACTATTGTTGAGCAGTTCATTTACATCAGTATACTTTGGAAATCGTCTGCAACAGGCTGCAAAAAAGGGTAAATATATGATTTCTGGCAGCGGCAAAATACTAATACAAGTCGATCCCCGTAGTTTCCTGAGATTTTTCCTTTAGTCCCACTGACGAACTCATTAAAATGGTGCAGACAGGTACAACGTACGTAACCCTACCAACCCTCTCACATGGTGAAGTAGTGTTCTGTTTCAATTGAAGTAGACAGAGAGTTAAGTAGTTTAAAGTTGAACATATGCATGACTCCCAATTTGTATAACCAACTCATTCTTAGTGACGACCATTTTACAGTTACGTGCGATTTATGACTGCACAAGGCCACCACTTCATGATTTACGCCTGAAGAGTGTGGTTTTGAAGGCATATGCCTGTTGTGAGACAGACAAGGCCACCACCACTAAACACATGGGATTCCAAGATCAGGAGCTATCAATTCTCTGTTTCTCTTACAGAGTACAGAGGAAATACACAGACACTAAAATTTCGACAGTGACAATGCAGGTTTTAACATTTTAGACTCTTGTCTCACAGCCTTTCGATGTTCATTTCAGGCCGACTCTGAGCAGCAAAGTTGTTTCACAGTATGCTAAACCAAATGTTCGAGGTTTCTTACTGCACAAAACAAACACGGTATGTAACTGGGATCTACCAGGTCCAAAGTTACCGGGTTTTCTAAGGACTATACCACTAGTCTTTTTGATTGATGTAACAAAAGTTATCATCAAGAAACACAAACTTATCAGTAACTGTATGAGTAGAGTGTGACCAATACCAAAAACAAACCCAATGTCACATACAAGAACCAACACTCAAACCAGAAAATGCTGACAGACAAATGGATTCTAAAATTGGATTTGTTGCTGAGGGATCAATCAGTACTCAAAATTACTCAGTATGAGGACATGGTTCGATGCAAAAGGATTGTTTGATAAACATCATCTAACAATATGGTAAACATTTAATTTTTCCTGATTAAACATTACACACTCACCGTCATTGAAGCTCAGGAAACCCATCTACCACATAAAATACATCATCCACCCACGACAGGAAAGCTGACCTCGAGTGTGAAGCACCGCACCAGATCACAAATTCAGGTGGACTCCAGGATGAGCTGCGCTGCCCTATGAGATGTGAGGGGATGAATCAGGAGGACCAGCTGCAGTATTGCCATACGGATGCATAGGAGGTTGTGGTTGATATGATGTATGACCACCATAGGAACCTGGGTTTGAGCCATAGCCTGGTCCTGGACCGTGCGACTGGCCAGTGGGAGCTTGATGTGGCATACCGGGCACACCTGGGGGAGCATTGTATGCATTCCCACCATATGCTGACATAGCTTGATGATTCTGCCATGGGATTTGTGATGATGCAGCAAGCAAACTAGCGTCTGGGATTGTATAGTCTCTGCTCTTATCACTGTAAGCCTACCACCCATGGAACATAACAAAGGATAGAACAAAAAACAAAGGAGCAATCATTCAGATTCCTAGTAATAAGATTCAGAAATCTCACAAAACAGGAAAGTGAAGTATAGAGAAGCATACGATTTTTATGACCAAATCGTTTTTCGACCAAGCCGCACTTAAGCCCAATTTTCACAGTTTGCTTCTTATTCCCCCCATGAATATTAACTCAAAAGCATATATTTTATACCTTTACATTGAGATCAGTATGACGAGAGTATGATAGATGAAGCTTACAATAGCCACCATCATAAATGCAGTGTCCCTCTAAAGCTTCCTTCGCTACAGATGCCGTTGCAATATCTGCAAGAAAGAAAGTAAACGTTTCGGAGTTTAATATGGCAGGGGCAATATCAGTGAAGGCAGAAAA